CACGGCTGCTTCCCCCCCTCTCTTGCGGCGGGAGGGAGGAAGGCGCAGCCACGTAGCCCTGGCGAGCGGAGGCACTCGTGGTGGTCATGGCTGTAGTCTCGGGTGTTGCCCGCGGTGTCTTGGCTTCCCGCAGGGTGCTCCACGAGAGGCAGAGGGCTGCAGGCCACCAGGGCTCTTGATACTGGATCGACCCGGCGCGAGGGAGAGGAGAGGGGAGGAAGAGAAAGAGAGGGTTAGTGCCAGAAATACACGAGCGAGGAGCAGCAGGGAGCGGAGCGGAGCACCCAGGCTGCGACAGAAAGGGGAGACAGTCCAGGACGGAGGAGACAGCTGGCAGACACAGGCAGGGAGAAAGGGGCACTCTGCCTTCACCGCTGCCGCCGAGGCTCGAGCAGGCAGGAGCCCGTGGGGTACCGCAGGGAAGGAGAGGGCAGGGGTGCACAGGAGGGAGAAGGGCAGCTCCGCAGCCCCCCAAGGGAAGCAGGGCTTCGTCGCAACGTGCTGTGGAAGGAACTCACTGTGGCCACGGGCACGTCAGAGGAGGAACCTGGTGTTAGAGAGAGGAAAGCAAGCAGAGGGGGAGGGAGGGAGGGGAGGGATTGCCTGAACCACAGAGCAGGTCAGAGCTGGGATTAGAAATCTGTCCCAGAACTCCTCTGTTCAGGCCACAGCTCGCTCCAAACACTAAACCTCTGCATCAGTTGGGGGCTTCCTCCAAGCCCGTCATGCCGCGCAGCTCCACCGAGCGCAAACCACCACAGCGTGCCATCCAGCAAGCCCCGGGCTTCACGAACCCCCTGCCCGGAGCCGGAGCCAACCCTCAGCCACAGCGTTTTCCAAGCTACACCATGCACGCACACGCAGACCCGGCGGCTCCATCTTGTACCAAGCCCCAGCACAAAGCCGGGGGAAACCGTCCCTCTCTTCTCGCCAAGGCTGTGGGCAACACCTCTGCCGCGCAGCCCTGCACCGAGACGGCACAACCCAGGGCTCGCCGCCCCTCGCGCCGGTGGGATGCCAGGGGGGTAGTGGTGGGATGGCCAGGGCACACAGATGTCTACACAACTGGAGGGTGATGGGCTCCGTGGACAGAGCTGGTCATGCAGCGGAGATGAGATGGGTTGCTCGAGTGGATGACGGGGAGAAGAAAGCTCTTTCTTACCAGCTAACCCTCAGAAAGCAGGGCTAACGTCCAAGGAGGGGGCAAATCCCGTCAGGCTGTGCAGGAAATGGCAAAGTCCTGGCAGGCGTCCTCCTGGGGAAGACACCAGAGATTATGCACCTCAATACCTGCCGGTACGGCCGGAGAGGGCTGGGTTAGACATGGGGACCAGGGATCCTGGCACAGCCCAGGACCAAGGTGGGTGGGGAAAGGCCGCCGAGGTGACGGCTTCTTGTAGGAAGGAGACCGGCAAGTGGGTGAGACCCTGCCCAGCCCGGAGACGTGGGACAGAAAAATCCCTTTGCTCCAGCAAGAGTCACGGCAGCACCGATGGGCGCTAAGCATCCCTGGTAGCCCCATCCTCCAGGAGGTTTTAAGAGCTTCCAGGCAAAGCCTGGGCCTAATAAAGAGTCCAACGGCCACCTGACAGATGTTAAACACTGAGACAGGAGAGGGCAGGCGTCTCAAAGGAATAAAACAATAATCCAAGCAATTAACTCTTTAAAAATATAATTTTATTATGATGAGTAACAAAGGAAACTGGTTTAAATAAAAACAGGAAGTAGTTTGGCCCCTGATAACACCCCCCCCGCTGCTCCTCGCTCCCCAGCGCCAGACCCTCTCCGCACAGCTCGCCTCGCCCCGGCCCCACGCCTGCCCCTAGAAGGTAGCGTCGAGGCTCCTCAAAGGCAGGGACAAGCCCCGCTGGGGACATCCCTGCAGGGGAAGCGGGGAGGGGAGGGCAGGGCGGCCTCTCCGGCTGCAACACGGGCAATGTGCTAAAGCGCCTGGCCCGTGAGAGATGGCACGAAGCTGCGGGGCTGGGGCGGCCGGCAGCCTCCCCGGGCAGCGAGGGCCATCTGCCGGGATCCGGTAGAAATTCAGCAGCCTCCGCCGCCGTGCTCTCACCTCGGCTCTTTGTGGAGGGGAAGGCAGAGGTGGTGGCCACAGCAAACAAGCACCGAGAACTCTGTGCAGCCAGCCAGAAATATAAGGCGGGGGGAACCTTGTGCCTCTGCCGTCCCCCAGCGCGCCCCGAGGCTGCGGGCGGGCTGGCGCAGTCACTCACAGTGTGCAAAGCACGACGCTGGTGAATTCGGTGGGGACAGGCTGCCCCCATAAGTGTGCTGCCTCTGCCCGAGGCCGAAATACACGCGTCTGACCCACAGAAACCTAACCAGGCAGTTTGACGCAGAACGCTGCAAGCCTCTGCCTCTGGTGCTAACATGCACAACGCTACCTGCACCGAATATAAAGTGTTCTACATAGAAAAAGAAAAAAAAAGAAAAAAATCTACAAATTGTGCAAAAATATCCAGCAGCTTTTAATAACACGATTCAAGTATTGCTAACAAGGTCTGTGACTCTCCCCTACGCACACTCCAGTGTCAGTGACGCAGAGCTGGCTGCCCAGCCCAGCTCTCCCGTGCCTCTGCAGGCACAGAGCGATGCTCACGGATGAGCCCAGGCACAGGGGAATCGCTCCCGAGGCGCCGGGGACAGCCCTGCCCTCGTCTGCCGGCCAGAAACCCGAACCAAGAGCACAACGCAAGGTCATCAAAGACTAGCACCCGCTCACTGCTTCCTCTGCGAAGCTCCACCTGGGAAGGGTGCGACCCTCAGGAATTCGCGCTCTTTCTGTTGCCTTTTGGTCTTCTACAGACAGGACATAACCAGGCCTTCCTGGCAAGCTAAGGTTCCCAAATCTTACAGCTGTAGCCTTGCCAACCAGCATCTCATGACGAGAGCCACAGGACGCTGCGTGTTTCTTCTTCCCCGTTAAAAGGAGGGTCATCCTAACTTGTGCCCTTGCTGCGAAACGTTGCCTTACTGACTGGCAGAGCCAAAACACAAAGAGTTCGTCAGCACCCCCTCAGTGACCAGCCAGAAAATAGCATCACCAGCAGCTGGGACATCTAGCTAGCTTCCACGTCTGCTGGGAGCCAGAGTCCTCCCAGCTGAACAGCCCCAACTTACACAGCAGCTTCTGGAAAAGAAAAGCTGCTCCGGCAGCGGCCAAGGTGAGAACCCAGCCATTAAGAGACAGAACGCGTCCCGCGTCGGCACAGGGGAGCAGGACGTGTTCGTGGAGATAACGGGGATACCAGGGAACTTCGGCCTCCACCAGCCCAGAAGACGAGGCGCGACAGCCCAGCTCAGAGTGGGAACCGTTTGCCAGTCCCCACCTCCCACCCTCGGCCCACCTCATCACCCCCGGCAGCAAACACAGCGACCCCCTGGAGCGGACGCTCCGGGCTCAGGGGTCTGGCGGCTCCCCAGACTTATTTGCTTCCCAGGTGCAGCAGGGACCCCCTGCCTTCTGCACGAGTCTGAGGGTCTTGCATGCTGTTGGGCTCTATCAGTTGAAAGCCCAGACAGGCCACGTCACAGTGAAACAAATAAACAAAAAATAATAAATAAATTTAAAAAAGAACAATAAAAAAAAAGGCAACGTATGGCTCGACTGAGTCTTTGGCAGCTCTGCCCCACAGGGCTGTCCCGCCCGAGGCCGGGGAGATGGTAAGAGGGGAAGGTACTGGCTGGAGCGAGGTGCAGGCACAGCAGGCACTGGGCTACATCACAGCACTGCTAGGGAATGCCTCCTACCATGCTGGTGTCAGTTTTGGCTCCAAAGGAAGGGATTTCGCTCTTAGGACTGGACGGGGTCCCGACATCTGGCTGGATAAATCCTCTTCTGTCTATCAAACTGGAAAAGAGAAACGGAAGGGTGCAAGGGGAGAGGAGTTAAGGAAATGAAGACTCCGCGAAGAGGGGAGCTCACAAGCCACAGAGAGGGCTCTCCTCGTGGGAACTGCTAACCCAAGCATGGGCAGGAGCGCGCTGGATAACACAGCTTCCTGCCCATTAGACAAACCACAAACGTATCACACAAGCCACCAAACAGCCTTGAGGCAGTTAAAGCTTTGGGTCACCACAAAACCAAATGGGAACTGGCGAAAGGTCTTTACAACAGGAAAACAACACGACCGAGGAAAGAATTGGAGTAAAACACTCTTCTCCCCACAACCTCCCAGCAAACAGCTCGGCTCCCTGAATCCGCAGATTTACCGTCTCTGAGCGGCAGCTCTGGCATTTCGGCACCTCTGAACCCAAGAAAAAGCTTGGGGGTACTTCAGAGCACGGGGCCAGATGTACGTGTAAAACACGCTTTGACTCTAGCTGCACAGCCTCCGACACCTTCCCCTGCCGTTGCGTTACACTGAGTTAGCACCTCCGAGATGCTCCATGTAAATCTAAATTGGACCCAGTGAATAAACTTGTCTCGAGGATCCCCACATGCCCTAGGACAGGCTGAGAGCTCCAAGCCAGCGTGAAGGTCTTCCACTCCCGGAGCACAGCGCAAGGGGAAGCCGGCCTGACTCTGCCCAACTGCACCCTCTTGTGACAAAGCAGCAATACTCCTGTGCTGCAGGTGCCCGCGCTTCAGGCCCAAAGCTTCCTTACATCTGCAGTGAACTGCCCGCCTTTGCCCTGGGTTTAACATCGGTTCTGGTTAACCCACAGGTAAGAGCATTTGGTAGGAGGCTACTCAGCATTTCAGGTAATCTCCGTGCTGGTAAAACCCAGGGTCTCCACACTGCCTTGTGCAGTTCTCTGCTGGCTGCTTGCCACGATGCTCGATCCTCAGAGTACGGGAGGAAAAAACATGTGCTAAGAAGTACCGCCACTACCGGTATTTACCATCTGCTGCCGAGCCCTTTGGTGCCATTACTCTCCCCTCACTGAATCGCGGGATGTGTCTCATCTGCAAGCTCCATTAAACAACTACAAGTGACCCCAACTGGTCAAGCTCAAACACAGGAGAAGCAACAGTTGTAGCTCTTCTACATTTCTCCAGCCGCTCGCTGCAGGGACTGGGAAACCGTTTCCCCGTCATCATGGGGGCAGATGTGTTTGTGCTGACACAGTCTCCCCTGAACCGTGATAAATCTGTCCTTTCCAGGGCCCCTCTCACAGAGCAGGATGCAATTCCCAGCGCTGTGGAGGTCAAAGGCTCTTACCTGGGATGGAATGGTCCACACAGCACCGCGCAGCAGTTCGTGAGGATGCTTTTATGGCTGTAGGGATTGGCAAACTCCGAGCCCCTCTTATTTGACCAGGACCCTTTGATCTGAAAGGGAAAGGATACACGCAGATCAAGACAGGAAAGATGCGATAGCAGATAGTTACACGATAACGGACTCGGTTCAAATCCTTGCTCAAGAGGTGGAGCAAGGTTACTACAAACGCCTTCCCTCTCTTTGCTTTAACAAGCAGGACAGCTGCAGAAAGGCAGACAGAGGAGACAGCAATATGCTGCTCCTGCCTCTGCCGAGGTTCAACCTTGCAGCTAGAAAGCTCCAAAGCTGTGCCCTCCCCGTGCTGCACGGCAGCTTGTCAGTGTCACCGTCTTCAACGCCAGCCTCCTCCTCCTCCCCTTGTTCTCTACCAGGCTGAAAGCTCATCAGAGCAGGGCTCTAGCTCACAGTCCTTCCTGGGCTCCTCAGGCTGAACAAACGGCAAGGGGATTCCCAGGCCACGCTGCAAGAGGAGGAAACCATTTCATCTGTCCCCACCCTGAGCAGCTGTCACCGGGACTCTGACTTCGAAACCCCGGTCACATCAAGCGTAGGCGCACACGAGTGGGCAGATGCTATACCTGGCCTCAGGCCCCTGGCTGCAGCGAATCGTTTACCATTACATTTCCTCCTCCTGTTTTTACTTCCTCTCCCTAGTTGCAGCATTAAGGCCGGCAACGTGGGCAATGCAGCCAGAGAGGCAACGGGCTGCGTGCTTCGGACTTGGTGCTCGCAGTACCGGGGTGCGACCTCCACTAGCTTCACTTACACGGCCCTGCGCATCTCTGCCAACACCTCTGAACGCAACAGAAAGGTGGAGAGGAAAGGGGAGGGGAAAAAGTTTAAAAAAAAAAAAAAGGGGGGGGATGCAAACCTGCCTTCTGCAGTGCTGGAAGCTTCCAGCGAGGATTACAGGTACTTCTGGCCAGGAGGATGAATTTTGATTCCGAGGATCAGACAGATCCTGCTTTTCCGTGCAATCTGCCCTGCTCAGGGTACTCATTTGGCCCTTAGAGTCTGCACGCGCCCCAGACTTTGAGGTAACTCTCATCAGGAGATGTCTGTACGTTATTTGCCTATTAGACATGAGGAACCGATAGAGACAAAGGGACTTGCCCAGGGTCTCAGAGGAAACCTGCGGTTACGCGGGATGCTGAATTAAGATCACCCACGTTCCGGCCTAACACCCAAATAAATCTCTGGGGCCAGCTTTCCTTTTTTAATCTCAGAACTCCTAATTTTAAGCAAGGCCGCATACAGACTGGAAAAAACACACACATGACCTTTCTAACATTTCAGCGTGTGACCCCCGTAGCCTGGCACCGCCGAGCAACACGTGTTGCACGGGCCCCTGCTGCTGCGCGCTGCTTTTCCCCCCCCGCTCGGCTACCCGAAACTACAGCCTAAATGCCTTGGGCAGGGGCCGTTTGCTTTGCAGTGGATTATCACAGGCAATGCAGGCAGCATGCCTTACCGAGATACTGCACCGAGGCAGGCAGCCAAGGATCCCCTGAAAGCCTCACCTCTGCTTAGGAAGGACCAGGGCCGGCCCTGCAGAAGGACAAGCGTCCAGGTACTTACATCTTCGTTTGTCGTCAGGTTGGAGGCGACTAAGTAAGTGTGAAAACCTGAGAGGCCCAAAATAGACCAGACTGAGAAAAAACAAATCACCAGCTCCAGCACAGTGAAACAACAGTCAAGGAAGTCCCAGGGAACAGAATCATCCTGCAAGGAGAGGCAGAGGACTGTTTTGGGAGGCATGCGCCGTGAGCACGCACACTGGGCCACGGAAACACCCCAGCAAGCTTCCCGTTCCCCGCGCCGTTCTGCAGGCACCCACCAAGGCACAGCCTGTTCCAGCCGCTTCCCTTTCCACGTGAATTTTCAAACTGGGAAACAAATTTGTCACCCACTCTTACTCCCTGGCAGTGAACTAAATAAGGAATTAAAGGTCTTTCCCAACTTGGTGATGTTACCAGCCTACAGATGAAGAGAAGCCTGTCTGCCCCAACCAGGTAGCTAAGGGACTAAATTAAGTTGTGGAAAGTACACGAAGGTGACCCTACAAAGAGCTCACTGCGCTTCTGTTATACAATTAGCATTGCTGCACCAGCGCTCGACAGTCCGAGCAGCCGATGGCGTCAGAAGGATATCTTGCAGGTGTCGTCTTCAGAGTGGCGAGGAACCCATCTCTCTGAGAGCCTGCAAAGCAAAACAGGACAAGGAACGACGTCCCATCAGGCAGCCTTGCATCTCCAGCCAACGCTTCACTCCTGAGCACGCAGCCACCCCGCTGTGGGCCGTATGGATCTGCCTGGCTGCCTGAGAAACGTCTGCAGTCTGTAACCTTGCAGAAACGTCGGCGTGCAGATACAGCTCCAGGAGATTCGGGGCTGACAGGCAAGCCACCTTCCCCGCCAGGTTAAGAGTGGATGCACCCACCAGCTCATTTGCTCTGGAGGGGATAACCCAGTCACCAGCTCTCAAGGTCTCTCTGCAGTGAGGTGCAGGGGGGGTCTGTGGTTCCCTACAGTCCGAGACCCCGTTTATCCAGGCCACCTGCACTGAAAAGCCTGGTGTAAACCAACCAGACCCTTCCCCACTCTCTGTCCAACGGGAACAGTGACCCAGTGCTGCCTCAAGTCGCTCGTGGCCAGGAGCACGGCACGCGTCGCTGCTGGTACCCGCGGTACTTACGCAAAGTGAGGTGGGTGACGACGCAAGCGAAGATGAAGGCTGTCAGGAAGGAGAGGGAGAGGATGAAGGCATAGAAGTAGCGATAGTTGCGCTTCCCCACGCAGTTGCCCACCCAGGGGCAGTGGTGATCAAACCTCTCTGAAACAAAGGGACACGGTGAGGGCTCCTGCCACCTCGCTCCCCGTAACAGAGCAAACTCTGCTGAGCCTCCGAAAACCAGGGGCTACAAATCGAGCTTCCACCCACCACCCCGAGACCAGAACCTCTCTGCAGCAGTACGTTAGCAAGAAGTTTCAACGGAGCACTGCTGCCCACTCACATGCCCTTTTTTACCATCAAAGGCCAAACCCTTCCTCTCACCAAACCCTGCATAAATACAAGCCTTGTGACTGGTAACATCTACCATTACTAAAACTGAAAGAGAGCAGGGAAAGTGCGGCAGTTTTTTCAGTATCTAGCAGCACTGGGAGTGCGCACGCAGCATCGCTGCTCTTTTTCTGCACGTCAGCTTCCCCCGCCTCCTCCGGGGCACAAAATAATTTCCAAAGTTATAAAGATATGCCTCTAATACCACAGAAACTGCCTGGGAACCCAGGGTAGGTGCCATGTATCTGGAAACACTCCCGACTGCCTTCTAATGAAAGGGCTGCATTTCAGACTAACAGGACTGCGGTAACCGTCCTGCGGGGGACATCAGTGCAAACAAAACCCATTGCACACAAGGCGGGCGCATGCCCGCTCCTCCAGACAGCTCCCCTCCAAACCCTGCCCCAGCCACGGCTGCTTTCCAGCGAGCCGTTCCAGCGTAAGGAGCGTTAAGTCGCCCCTCGGGCTGCCCCAGCAGACGGCATAAAGCGCAGCCTCCGCATCCACGTGGTGCACGACCAGGAGCAGCCGCCCGAGGAAGAAACTCTCCAGGCACGTCCCTAAATCGCATGCCACCCTGCTGCCAGTTCAAGTTGCTCTGGGAACCACCCCTGCCCACCCCCCTGCAGCTGCCCCACGCCTGCGCCTGCCTGCGTGGAGCCATCAGAGACTTTTCTTCAGGTCTTTGTTCATTCCCTCCTGCCCCACCACAGTCTGCTGGCACGGGGAGAGGAGACAGAAGAGCTCAACCAGCATCTGTGGTGGCGTCTCCACCAACGTGGCAACAGCAAGGCCACAGACAGCAAGGAGCCTGCAGCAAACCTTGTGTTTGGTGGGGGCCTTAACCGCGTTTCATGGTACAGTCTTCCCAGAACGAGGGAAAGCAGAGACACGGAGTCTCGGACACGCTGCCCCCTCGCCCTGAGCCACTGTACTGGTCTTGCTTTCATTTTAAATGGGAAGAAGACAGACCACTCAGTATCTCGCTTTATAATCCTTTACAAGAAGCAAAAGCAATCTGTCCAGGAACATAAAAGACCCCCCAGCACGCACACACACGAGGTATCAGCACCTTTCCACTCTCTGGGCTTACCGACACAGTTGTCGCAGACGCTGCAGTGAGAGGTGCGTGGAGGACGGAACATTTTGCAGGTGTAGCAGTACTTGAGTTTCACCACATACTTGTTTATGACCACTTCCATCGTGCGGGCCGGCGGGCGATAGGTAGAGGTACCCATGCTGTCTGCAAGGGCAAGGAGGGACAGTCAAACTGGTGCAGGTGAAAACCCAAGCCCCCATATCACCCCGAGCTGCTTCCTGGCAGGGTGAGGGATTGGCACGTGCTCTCCTGATTTTAAGCAAAAGCTAAGAGGCAGCTCAGCCTACAGGATTTGTTGCAGGGTGGGCAGCCGGGAACTCCAGTCAGCTCCTCGCAGCATTATTTATGTCCTTTCCTTGTCTGTTCAATGGCAGTGCTGCTGGGATGCCAAGAGGAAGTAATATCTGCCCAACAGTTTGAGAACATAAAGCAATTTATAAATGGTGAGCATAAAAGCAGCAGCGTTAACGTGCCCAGCAACACCAACTCATCTCTGCGCGTCTAACGGATCGCAACACAAGGAGGCAACACGATCTGTTAACGCACGCGTGGTTCCTCCTCCTCGGTACGCGTCCAAGTTACAGCAATCAGGAGACGTCAGGGTAACCTCAGCAGAAGCATCCCCTGCTGCCGCCAGCACACAACCTGCCAACCCGCAGCTGGAGCCAGCGGCGCCACCAGGCTCAAGGGACTCGTTTCCATCACGGGGGGGGGAGGACAGCGAGCGGGTCTCAAGTGCTCCAGGCAGATTTCATTGAAATTTGACGTACGCACGTTAGTAGCGCAAGAGGATTCCTCCTCCTCAAGGTCGAAATCAAGGATTTTTAGGGACACCGCAAGTCGCACCCGTGTGTGCTGGCACTTCGTTATTCACTGGGGACTGGCAGCTGGAGACCGTTTCTCTGCTCAGCAAAAAGTGTGAGCTGGAAAACCTCTATCACATTTGCAATTTTGGGGGTTATTCCTTTATTCAAGTCACTCTTGAAAGAGCACCTTTCCAACTCCGATGAAGTCTTTGAAAACAGAGATGTAACAGTGAGCATGTTAAGAGGATAACTAGTGGATTATATTAACAGTAACAGCTGGCACATCAGGTGGCATCTGCAGCCAGATTACTGCTTTAGGCACTTATAAATAGAAACATGGATAACCACTCTGAGCATATTTTAAAACCATTTTTTTAGTCAGATGTAGAATTATCGCCTTGCAACTGTCTTCAGTGGGGCAGATTTGAGTTGTCTCACATTAGCTTTGCTAAAGCATTTGTTACTACGGGTCACGTCAGCAAGGTCCACAGATCCTGGATGCACGCACCTTCTTGGCCACCACCAAAACAGCGTGACATAGCAGTTTTTAGACGGGGACAAACATCAGCATACTGTTAGAAACCATTACAAAAAAAAAAAAAACCCACCCTTGCGGCACAGCAGGCTCCACGGCAAATCACAATCTTAAAAAGCATTCATTCCTAAATTAATTATCCTACGTCCTCCCCACCCGTATTTTGCAGAAGAACGTACAGGGTCAGACTCCCCCGAGTTTGGACAACGTTTGAAGTAACTAACGCGCCGTTACGGAGCGTCACAGGCACTCCCGCTCGGTCTTCAAGAGCCTGGCAGCGTGATTCTGAAGGGGGACTTCATGCTCCCGCAGCCGCTGGTACGCAGTCCCCAACGGTATTCATGTTTAGGACACCGATGCCGCAAGCTCTCCCTCCCCTGAGCTCTGCACAGGGTCACTGCCCGCTCAGGCGTCATCCTGAGGGCAGGACTGTTGAGCCCCGACCCACTGTACCCACTGTTTTGCCTGGGAAAGCGACGGGACTAAACAGAAAGGAAAACCACCTCTGCTTCTCTGCAGATCCTCTCTTCGAGGCACTGCCTGCTGTGCTAGAGGAGCCTGTCACACCTCTCTTACCGGGACTCATAAGACACTGTCAAGCCTCATGATCCGATACTGTGTCCTTTTCTCCAGAGACTCACTGAGCCCGACATGCGTGGGGCGCACGCACACGCAGAGGCGGGCACCGGACCAAACACAGAAGAGGGAATAGAAGTCTCACCGATTCGCTTTTCCAGGTCTGCGGCCTCACTTGGGGTGGCTCTGGGCAGGATACCTGGGTCTCTGAAGCTTGTCTGGAGCAGGCAGCTGATGACAAAGAAGAAGAGGACGGCTGCAATGATGGGGATGGCCAAGGTGAGGTGACTGGCAAGGAAGGGGCAGCTGTTAAAAGAAAAGAAAAAAATGCGTTGTTACCAACCATCGCTACAGAACTGGCCATCGGCTGTGACACTACGCACTGTGAATTGTCACAGGGTGGCGGGCCGAAGCGCTGCTGCTTTGCAGAGACCTCTGGAACAGCAAGAGCCAGCCCAGAAAACACCGGAGTAGCACTGGGAAGACAGGGCCTTTGGCACGAAGATGCAGTACAAGCCCCTGTACACAACCTCTTTGCCCTTCTGAAGTCCCAGAATCGCATTTCAAAAACCTGTCAGCTGCCCCACCGGTCACCTTCTATAACAGCAGCATCAAGAACACATGGAGGAACACCCCGAGCTAAGCAGGAATCAAAATCAGCGCGAACGCAATCCCATTTGGTCCAACACGTGAAGCTGAGAGGGAATTTGGCTTCGATTCAACACAGCTTTGCTGTCTCTGGATGACTCGTGTGCCCTTCATGGTGTGCCAGATGTTTGGATGAGGACGCCTTCCAGCGCTGACACTGCTGCGACAGGCCACCAGGCATCTCAGCAGACGACGCCCGCTCTTGGGCTCGCCGTGCTACGACCAGGGGCTGTTTTTCCACAGATGGGGACCGCAGCCGACTGCACTCCACATCAGGGCAGCTCCGCTACTCGCGGCGCGACAGGTGAAGACGGCCGAGGAACACAGCTCTTCGCACGGCACAGTGCCGGAGACCCCTCCCGGCCCTCGCTCCGCAGAGGGATTTGCTATTATAAGCACTGATAAGTACCCAGTTGAGCGCAGACAGGCAAGCTGCTTGAACCCTGATGTCTGCGGGCAGCACTCAGTCTCAGTAACGCTGCGAGGCAGTCTGAGAGGATTAAGCAACTTTTGTTTCAACTCCCAAGCTCAGCTGTCCAGAACAAAGCAGCCACCAAGCAACAAAACCCCTTCGGCCCGAGACCAACGCCGCTGCCGAGCCCCTCGGTCGTCTCCCTGCCGGAGGGACAGAAAGGTCTCCGAAATGAGAGATGCGAGCCTGTTGCCACCCCTTTCCTGGGAGAATCTCTGGACCCCGCTTTCCCCCACCAAGCAACAACAAATCACATAAAAAACGTCAACTGTAGACACAGGCAAGATGTGTTTGCTACACAGCTAGCAAACCGTAACCCATGCAACAGAAGCACACTGCTAAAATAACAACTTGGAAAGCCCCAGGGCACATTCAACCAAGAAAGAGTGACTAGGCAAGAAGGGAGGGGAGAGCAGATGTCCTCTGCTTGGCCCCGTACAAAGCAGTTACTGTGCCAGTGCTGCCCGTTAGTTTCAGATACAGCAGAGAAAGCTGTCAAAGAGGCACAGATGACAGTAAGAAAGCAGTGTTCACGTCAGGATGCCGTTACTGCCTCCCCCAGCTGCCTGCCCCTTTCAGCTCATCTCAGAACCTCTAATCCGATCAAATACCTTCACCTCCCTGCCTGCAGGCTTGGGCAGCTTTACTCTGGGACTCGCAGAGATAACGCCGTGATGCAAAGGCAGGCATGATCCCCCCGCCTCGTACAGCGGCGGGGAAAACAAGCTCCCTTCTCCCCCCCTCCCCGAGACAGAAACGCAGAAGCAGGATAGCAGAAGCCCTCAGAGGTGTCAATAACCAACGGTGCTCCTTCCCCGGCTCCTCCGGGCAGCGCAGGACGTAACGGGGTGCTCTTTGGCTCTCCCCTCCCTTGGGGCGCGGGAGCGGGGAGCTTCCCAGGGCCAGCTTTCCTAAAGCAAAGGGGACTGGGATCGATGCAGCTCCCTCTTCCCCAGACACCACTGCGCGAGGGGGACAGAGCTCCAGTGCGGAGCTTTTTGGTATCTGCCCGACCCCAAAGAATTTCACCACCTACCAAGCA